ACTAAAAAGAAGATATACCATTCCTTTGTAGAAAGCGTAGCCACTTACGGATCAGAAGTTTGGACACTGACAAAAAAGATGGAAAATAAGTTGCTTTCCATGGAAATGGATTTCTGGAGAAGAAGCTGTGGCATATCTAGAATCAAGCGGATCCCAAACGCAGCTATTAGAGACAAGGTCGGATGTCAAAAGAACATCCTTCACCTGATCGGGACCAAACGGTTAAAGTGGTATGGCCACTTAATGCGGATGGATGAGAACCGCTGGCCAAAGAAAATTTATCTAACTTTATTAACCATGCCACCTGAAAGAAGGAAGCGTGGAAGGCCAAAGATCCCCGCTCACACCCCCTGGCCCGGGAAAATCCCGTACAGCCTTAAGGACGAGGAAAAAAAAAAAAAAAAAAAAAAAGTGTAACATAAAACGATAATCCGAAAAACAATATTCCAAACGAGGCTCTGATTGAACCATTAGTGGGGCCACCTTACTTTTTCCTCTTAACAAATGCATTATGGTATCTTCTCCTTGGCACCCAATTCTCAGGTAGAACACACACCCGTAACCTTTCTCGGAAGTGTCTGAAAAGGCTATTAGCTGCATGCATGATGCGTTCTGGCTGGTAACACAAGGAGGCAGGCAAACATTTCTCAAGATCGGAAATTCTTCTAGGAAAATTTTCCACAATGAAGACACATCAGAGGGCAACTCACCATCCCAATCAACCTTAAGCAGACACAAACATTGTAATATTCATTTAACCAAAAAGATTGCAGGACTGATATATCCATTTATATTGAAAATTTTGGCAATGAATGACAGAATACCTCGCAATAGATAGACAAAAAAAATAGACAATGAGCTTATTTTTACCAAGCGAGGTATTCTGTCATTCATTGCCAAAATTTTCAATATAAATGGATATATCAGTCCTGCAATCTTTTTGGTTAAATGAATATTACAATGTTTGTGTCTGCTTAAGGTTGATTGGGATGGTGAGTTGCCCTCTGATGTGTCTTCATTGTGGAAGATTTTCCTAGAAGAATTTCCGATCTTGAGAAATGTTTGCCTGCCTCCTTGTGTTACCAGCCAGAACGCATCATGCATGCAGCTAATAGCCTTTTCAGACACTTCCGAGAAAGGTTACGGGTGTGTGTTCTACCTGAGAATTGGGTGCCAAGGAGAAGATACCATAATGCATTTGTTAAGAGGAAAAAGTAAGGTGGCCCCACTAATGGTTCAATCAGAGCCTCGTTTGGAATATTGTTTTTCCGATTATCGTTTTATGTTGCACTTTTTTTTTTTTTTCTTTTTTTCCTCGTCCTTAAGGCTGTACGGGATTTTCCCGGGCCAGGGGGTGTGAGCGGGGATTTAAAAGACTCCCCCCGGCACCGGGACGCGAACTCGTGACTATTTTTATATCTTTGATTCATATATCTGGTTGCCGGACAACGGCGGTGCAGTGCACACGCTTAGCCCATTCATCCACCCCGCCCACTCATTTTTATGTTGCACTTAAGATTTATGTTGCCAATCGCATAATCCAGATTTTAAAAGTAATAGAACCCAATTGTTGGTACTATATTTCTACAACACAGTACCCAGCGGATTGTTTATTGAGAGGCCTCACACCACATCCGATACTTTCTCATGAGCTTTATTGGAACGGCCTGGCATTTATTTCGTTACCTCCTTCTGACTGCCCTATTTACCATATTGAATGATATCTTCGAAACTTGAAAATGTTAAGCTAATTCTCATCTTTATGTCTTCAATAACCTGCCTTATAAGAGTTAATGAAGTAAACATTTATTATTTTGAAGGAGTAAGTAAGGAAAATCCAAAATCTTTGAAAATATTTATTTGGTGGAAGGAAAATATAATAGACAGATGAAGAGAGTAGCACTACAACCATACCATTAGTGAGAACCGAATTAAGTGGCAGAGGACTGTAGGCATCTACGCCAGTGCCGCTTTTCCGCTGATTATGTGCATTTTCTTAAGAACTCTATCAATAATAATAAAAGGCTTAGCGAACCCGGAGTACACACCTCCCTCCACCGTTCGCCGTCCAAACCCAGTCCCTTCAGATCGGCTTTAACGCAATCTTCCCACCTTCGCTTCGGTCTACCTCTCGGACGTTTACCATTCGGTCCAGCAGATATCATCCTTTCAGGAATTCTTTCATTACTAAGCCCAACTATTTTACAAACCCATTTGATTATCTGCGATGTAATCACCTCAATTAATAGCGTAAGAACCCTATCATATATGTCAAAAATTAATGAGTGATTTAGAAAGAGAAATGTATTTTTAGATGCTTTATCTTAAGGCGTTCTTCGTTATTGTTGGCCTTTTAATTAAAAATGACATATGATTTTCAGCATTAATTTGAACGACTTGAAAGAGTTGACTTTACTGGTATGTTTTATTGCCAAGGCCATTTAGTTTTTTAATTTGCTGATATTTTATTATTCTTTGCCTATCCAGATTTAATAAAAGACCAATTATGATGAAATGAAGCCAACTGCTGAATCTCAGTGACCAGAAAACGATCTCAAATCAAAGGAATCGACCCGTCATGTTTGGACACTATTTTAGGACAATGTGGCCACATTATTTTGTGGAAACCTTGGCTTTTTTAAATAAATAGTTAAAGGAATGTTAAAAGGAATTTAAAGAGTAGTTACGCAGTGATATGAATTTTATAGGGATGTGAGAGGGAGGTGCATTGTAGGGAGAGAGGTCTGGCCTAGGGACTACCTTCGCCCATCAAACTTCTTCCACCCCTCCATCGGATGGACTTGAATTGGGTCCCAGAATATTTAATGATGTAACCAATCGGTTGAATTGGGCCCTGGGTATTCTTTTGAATGGCACAAGTTGGGTGCTGCCAGCAGGTAGGAAAAAATGATTGATTCTATGGAGACAGCCTTTTCACCCAAATAGTTTCCTGTATTAAATTCAAAGCGATTTGTACTCTATATAATTTATTGTGCTTAATCAAATGGCGAAGTACCTGGTAGGAGTATTTTGAAAAAATCTTGTTTTTTTTTCTTCTGATTCTCCATCATTTTTCTTAATCTGCATAAAAAATTGTAGTTTGTTTTAAATAGAGTATTAAAAATATGATATTTTATACATGTGTTATATATAAAACAACAAGTCCGAAAAAGATTTTTATTTTTAATATTATTTATTTTTAAAGATCATTCATTTATTTATTATTATTATTTTTAATTCAGAGATCGGTAATAAAGACTACCATATATGCAAACAAATGTTGTATTTGCTACATCTCAATAGTACTTGACGTTTCGGAAGCTTTTTCCCATCATCAGAACTAGAACTATCCTTGCCATTCATTTTTATCAATTTATAAGATAAAAGTATTGTTATAAAATGAATGTTGTTTCAAGTGTGTTATTTCAGAGTTGTTAATCATTTTTTGGCTACAATATTTACTCTTTTTTTTCCCCTCTCCAAAGTAACCCTTTAAAAGGACCATTTATTCTGGTATATTCCATACAAATGTATATTATGCACCTTAAATATAACATTTTATGAAATAACATTAACATTAACTAATTAGAAACATAATTCAATTCAAACATAATAGTTAGTATAAGCATAACTGAAATAAACATAAGTAAGAAGAACATATAAAAATCAATGATCATAGTTTCTTAAAATTACAAAAGTTATAAAGCAAGTAAATATTTTCTTTATAAATTGATATATTATACAAAATTATGGGTGATCTTATCTGATATGCTTACCATTAACTCAAAATTTTTTTTTTTTTTTGACTACTGATAAATTTTGTGAGGTCTTGTTGTTTTTTTTTTTAAATTCTGAAATAAATCTGTGTAAACTGGATGACTTATCTGAGTGAATCCATTGTTTTTTCCAAATTAAAATTGAATTTTCTCTGATCTCATATTTTACATATGACAGTGGGGTCTTAGCATATGATGAAGATATATCGCTTTGTGCAGCCTCTTTCGCTAAAGTGTCAGCAATCTCGTTCCCTTCGATCCCAGAGTGACATTTCACTCATTTTATTTTTATTTCGAAATTTATTAGCCTAAATTTATGAATGTCACTTCTAATAGTTTTGGTGAGCTGGTCATGTATGCTTGGAGTTAGGACAGATTATATTAAGATCATGTTATCTGTTTGTATGAAGACGTCTTGGAGTATTCCAATATTGTTTTAATTAATATTAATTACACACACAGCCGGACTAAACACATACTACTAAACGTCTAAATCAATCTGTTTATTTACGAAAATTTAATGGATTCTTCTCTATTAACAAACAAACAACAATAATCTCTATCACCCCAATTAATAAATTATATTTATAGGACGTGTGTGTATATTTATATTTATAGGATGTGTGTTTATATGTATATATATGTGTGAGTGTGTATGTGTGTGTGTGTATATATATATATATATATATATATATATATATATATATATATATATATGTATAATTATATATATGGTTTTCTTATGTATATAAATTATATTTTGTAATTTTAAGGATTGTAATCTAGTTTTTCATTTATATCTTATGTTGATTTTTTATGAGGTTTTTCCTACTGTAAAAAATGGATTTCAATTTTCTAAACAGCATTCATACCACTAGTATGTCATGTTTAAGGTTACTGCAACCACAAACATGTAATTTATCATTATGACATGATGTAATGTATATATATAAAAAAAATTAAAAATAATTTTACTAATTAAAAATAATTATTTAAAATAAATTTACTTTAGAGGAAGAAATGTATATAGTTATCTAAATATCTCATTTGTAAGTAAGTGAAGGTAAAAATAAATTTTTCCTTCCCATAATAAAGTACATTTACTTATTTCCATATCATATTACCATTCGATCACTGACAAACAATATACAAATTATTTGCACGGACTAATTAGTCAGTTTAATTTCACATTCTATTAAATGTTTACAACTTTTTGTCTTTTAGGAAAAATACCTCTTGGTTTCAAATATGAAGCGGCAGATTGGTCAACTAGAACTCATGGAATTCCAGTAAATGATGCTAGTTGGAATGAAGGGATTAAAGATCCTCTGGAAATGTTTGGAATGGTTCAGTCGTTTATCAAGGTAAATGATTTGATTCAAGTGTTCATTGTCATTCATGCACTTTAAAATATTTTTAATGATCTCATTCATCTTATTACACATTAACCCTCTCCGTGGCATTTGAATTTTTCTTAAAACTGGCTGTGATATTTATTTGATTTATTTAGATCCCTGCCCTTGTTAGGCAATACAGGTGTTGGTAGTGATGGGCTGCCATGCATACATGCCCTACAACTTAAATGATAAGCAGGCAGGTTTCACCTTTTGTCATTCTGTGCTTTCACTATATTGCTCAGGCATTAAGACTAAATCTCACCAAATTTCATTAATTTTTTTTCTCAATAAAATGCTTACAAAATTAGTGCAAATTTGTTATCCTGTATTTAAACTGTTTTATTATGTTGTATAACTAGGGAATGGAGCTGATGATCTTAATTTTCCAAGAATAGATCCTAAAAATCAATTTTTATTAGTTTGTTGCCAAAGCTCTTGTGTATGAACAAACCCCTTATTTCCAACTCTCATTATCAATCCTATAAGAATGTTTTTGTTCCTGCTTTGTAGATCAATGTTTACTTTGAATAATCCTTTAATTCCTTTCAATTTGAGTTGGCTTGATTGGTCATTTACATTTTTAAAATGCACTTGCAATGTCACAAAAAAAAAATCGTGATTCGCAGTCTTTGGAATTTTTCAAGTAAAGCTCTTGGCTCGCTTGCTGCAGCCCTATGCCACCACTGTACTGCCGCATAGAGGATTAAGGGTCTAATTACAGTCCTGTATAGCCATAGGGCCATTCTGGGTTTCAAACCCCCTGATTCGCTCACTACTCTTTTACATGTCCATAGAGCCTTACTACTGATCTCAATATGAATCAGATAATTCAATTTACTATCCAGAGCAATCACAAAATGTTTTACTTCACTACAGATATTAACCAGTGACCCATTCAGAGACGACATTGTCTAATATTGCCATTTCTTCTGCTAGTGAAGATACAGAGATTTATCTTCTGCAGATTTATGCTAAGTCTACTGTCCTGTCATCAATCTTTCAGAAGTTTCATACTATAGGGTTGTCTGGAAAATAATACAGGATTTTGGTTTAAAAAGAAAGATTTACAACTGTTTTATTTAATCGAAATAGTCTCCACTACTATCAATACATTTCTGCCAATATGTTTACAACTTTTCCATTCCCTCGGAATAGAGTTTCCCATCTGTAGAATTGATAAACTCCAAAAACGCATTTTCTAATTCCTTTTGTCCATTAAATTTTTTGTCACATAAGTAGTGGGGTCCAGGTGTCTAAAAAAATTATAATCCATAGGCGAGAGGTCCAGAGAGTAGGGTGGATGCGACAGAGTTTCCTATCCAAGCTCCAACAGGGTTTGTGACATCTCATGTGAGACATGTGGCCGGGCATTGTCATGCAACAAAATGGGTCCCTTCTGATTGACCAAATATATCTTCATTATTGCCAATTTCTGATGCATTCCATTAATTTGGTTTCAATACGATTCGGCATTGATGGTTTTGCAAGAATTTAAGAAGCTGTATTGTATCAAACCAAATGAAGCTCACCAAATAGTAGCCATCACCTTTTTAGTTTCACTTACCTATATATGTATTACTTTTTTTTTTTTTTTTTTTTTTTTTTTTTTTTTTGTCTATATGGGATTTTCCCGGGCCAGAGGGTGTGAGCGGGGATTTAAAAGGCGCATTGGTACCGGGACGCGATTGTGACTATATTTATATCATTAATCTTATATCAGGTTGCCAGGCAACGGTGGTGCTGTGCAAACGCCCATTTAGCCACCCCGAAATACAATACTTTCCCTTACTATATATGAAATATATAGTAAGGGAAAGTATTGCAATCGTGAAAATTTTTTAATCTTAGTTTTCAATGGAACCTCATGTTTTGAGATCCCCTGAGTCGAAATAACCAAGCTCCGCAAAATGGTGTGTGTGTGTGTATGGATGTGTGCATGCGTGCGCGGGTGAGTGAGTGATTGAGTGAGTGTGTTAACAGTCTTGCTCAAAAACGAAAAGTTGTACGAAAGTGAAATTGTATATTTAAGGTTTTTATATGCAACTTTTTTATCAAAATCGGATAATCGGAAGTGGCACTTTATATCGTGGACGAAACACATTTTTACGATTTTCTTGAAAACGGCTCTAACGATTTTGATGAAATTCATTATATCAGCATAAAATTAAGTAGTTTTAAATAAAATGTAAGTTTTATTCTGATTGATATTCTCTAGCACTGCTGAAATGACTAATTTTCAATATTTGCTTTCCTTAAAGTACCTGTAATTTTTTTTATTTGAAACAATTGACCATTTCACATTAATCTATAATATAAAAGATAGTTAAATATGAAATATAAAAGAATTTGATAATTAACTAACGGAGATATTAGAGATCGTAATGGAGAATAGTTTTAATTCAGGAACCAAAGGTATACGAGCGCACCTGAGCTCGCCTGAAATATTAGAACACGCTTCCATACGTAACATGAGCTTAATATAATAAGGACTGCGACAATATTGTGTAAGTATACATATACGGTTTTCATAAATGCTATTATTGTTATTATTTAATATTTAATTGTATAGATTACAGCTATATAAATATTAATATTTGTATATATAAGATACTTATACAAATAAAAATACTCACAATGAAATTTAAATCAATATTACATTTATAATTTTTACTTTCACTTCCCCTTTGTCTGAAAATGCTTATTTTTGTTAAGAAGAGGGTGGTAAGTGAAAGTTGGGTGATGCGTGCACCGCACCAGATTTTTTTTTATGAGTTGGGTACTTTAGCAAATGTTCTACTGCTTTTCCTTTGTCTAGCCAAAGTCCAGAACGTCAATTGTTATCATAAAGTATCCACTTTTCATTATAAGTAATGATTGTGGACAGAAAAGGATTGTTTTGGCAAAGAAGTGTAGTACAAACTTAATGCTGTTTTTTTTTTTTTTTTTTTTTTTTGCAATCATTTAATATGTGTGGAAACTTTCAAGTTTTTTATCTTTCTAATTACCTTGAGGTGGTCATCAACAGTCTATTTGCAAGTTCTCGAACAGTTGTTTTGTGGATTTTCTTTCACCAAAGCCTGCAGAACATCATCATCAAGAGAGGAAGTCCTTCCACGACCTGCTTTTTTCAAGGCTGAAGTCTCCCTCATGTAGATGAGATTTTGGAACTTCATGTGTTGCCTATCCTCAACAAAATCGGCGATTGTTCTATTCTAATGCACGATAATGCACGCCCTCATGACGCCTGCATAGTGCAGACGTTCCTTCAACAGTTCAATATTGAGGTTTATAGCCTGGCCAGCACGTTCTCCAGATTTGAACCCCATTGAACATTTATGGGATAACCTCGGAAGACGAATAAGAGCGCGTGCAACACTTCCTGATACATTGCAGGACCTTGAAAGGGCTCTTCGGGATGAATGGGCTATCCTCCAGCAAAGGGACATTTCCTGACTGGTGGAAAGTATGCCGAGGCGTCTTCAAGAAGTAGTGAAGGCAAGAGGAGGAAACACACACTACTAAACGATGATGTAATTAATTTCTTTTAGAATAATAATGGTTTGTTTTCCAATTTTTTTTCTCTAATCTTTCTTACCCAATCACATTTTGATTTTTAAAGGTAAGAAAGATTATAAAATTCCATAAATACTAAGTATTATCTACAAATACCATGTATTATATACAAATACAACTTTTTTTACAAGTGGGTGAAATATTTTTAGATGAAAACATGAAAAAATCAAGTGGGTGGAATTTTTTGCCTTTCAGTGTATTCAGTAATGTAATTATACAAATAAATAGGTTTACCATATAATGATATGGAACCAAAATTAAATGAAATAAATAATCTATGTTGTTCATAAACAAAATAAAATTGACCCCCCCCCCCATAATACGATATGGTGAAAATAATCACTTGTCGGCGTTAACAGGTAGCAACTATTGCTTTACTGCCATTACGAAACTCAAAAAGCATGCATTGCCAGATACGTATCTTCTGGTGTTTGGCTCTCCATTTCACCAAAAACTGAAAAAAAAAAGAATTTAATTATTTACAACTAAAGTAAAGAAGTCTCTATAACCTTAAAATATCTTTGCCATGACATAGATGTACATAATGAGCTGCAAAATGATTGTAAAATAGTGACATAATCAGTAACGACATTAATATCCGGTCCCCCTAATAATTAATGTTATATTATTATTCTTGTACCTTGATTATTTTTAAAATTTGATTTTATACTTTTTCCAGAAATTTACTGAGCCCCCTGAAGTACCTCCAATCTACACAATGTTCGATACTTTAAATGCTGACAGTCGTCTTTCTGTTGTGAAATCTGCATTGAATATGTTGTGTGATGCTGCAAGTGAGTTGTTAAATGCTTATCATTGTTTTTACCTAATATTTCTTTTAGTTTTTATTAATGGTATTCTGTGTTAAGTTATATATTTGTAATTGATTAATTTATTGAAAACCTAAAATTTAAAATGGTCAAGAATCAATCAATACAGGTTTTTTTTTCTTGAAGTTAATCTATTAAAATAGGAGCGCTACCAACCATTTCATTTCACTGAAGAACTTACAGCTAATAATCATTTTAAATTATAGATAAACCTGATGTAAACACACAACTTAGATCAGTCGGTTGAAAGCTGTCGCTTCTATACGAAAATTTAAATTAAATTGGTGAAATTTGATATTTCATTAAACAGAAGAACTGATGTTGATGTTTTGATATGATGTATAGAATGTGTCTCTAAAAAACAATTCACCTTGACTGACGATGTACTCGGTTGCGTTTTGAAAATTAATGTCATCAAATTAGTCCAGTCGAATGGTAGATTTGAATAACATTCAAGTAGTCTGTTTCCCTTTGGTATATTTTTTGTATTTGTAATTTAACTATATTCATAACAGAACTAGAGTGCATAAACAGATTATATAGCATTTATCTCTTCTGTTGGCATGAGAGACATAAGCATTCGTAACAATAATAAAAAAATTAAGATAATATAAGTTTCTTCTTTACTTCACTTTTTAAGATGGTTACTTTTTAAAATTTTATGTTTAAAAAGTATGGTTTCTTGGACTAAAGACCGAGTTGACCCTATGTGTAAGAGAGTTTTTAAAAGAACTCATGGTCTGCCGTTTATATTGGGTCAGCTGGAAGGGATCTAAAAAAACATATTAAATAACATCTCCTTAGGTCAAGCTATGCATCTTACTTCAATGTCCATTTTGAAGATTGTTCGTACTCTCATAAAAATAGTACTGTCAAACTCTTGGACACTTGGAGGGAAAACATTGGATTTTCTTGGAAAACCAGAGATCAAGAAAAAAAACAATGGAAAATAATAAGTTATGCTCTTGTGTCCATAACTCATCAATTTGAGGATTCTGCCCTCATTTATTTGGTAGTGGCTTATGAGAACAAAATTTAGGGAGTGGGAAAGCCCTCTGGACAGTAATTATATTTTTATTTCTAGTCCTTAACTGTCAAGCAGGAGAGGAGGACCATCATAAATTAGTGTTAGGTGTATAATTAATGTGTAGTATAATTAGGTGATAATTAGTTTTTATTTAATGTGTATATATATATATATATATATATATATATATATATATATATATATATATATATATATATATATATATATATATTTGAGAAGTATTTTGATTTATTAGCGTAGGTAATAAATATAACTTCCTTATGATAGCAGTTAATTTTTTTTCTTGAATTGAGGCTTATGGGAAAGAAATAAAATTCAATAGAAAGACTCATCATTATCCTCTAACATGTATATATATATATATACATATATATATATATATATATATATATATATATATATATATATATATATATATATATATATTTTTTTTTTTTTTTTTTTTTTTTCCCTACGTGGTAACCCCACACAAGGATCGTTTATTTGATTTTCCTTCATACTCCATGCCTTAAAGACATACTACATGAATTACATTTGTTTACAATTGTTTTTTTTTCTAGTTTCACATGATTTACATTTTTAGTTCAAATTTATATACATTAACAAAAAAAAACACAAAGAATAAACACACAAAAATTAAATCGGAAAATTAAATATTAAACACACAAAGTCAATCCAACAAAGCCAAAAAGAAATCACCCACGCTGCCCATCCCTGGTTAGTAAGTCGAAGTCGATCGATCTAATAAATCTAAGAAAGTCTGTCTTGAATTCAGTAAATAACTTTTGTTCCGTCTCAGGCCAATTTCCTCTTTTGATAATTATGCTTTTTATTAACTCAAATCGCTGTCTGTCAAATCGTTTACATTCATATATTATATGTTTAAAATTTTGAATCTATCCGTCTTCATCACATAAGTCTGTTTGTATAATGTTGAATCTTTTAAGATATTGTTTTGTATTCCCATGTTCCGTAAGTACTTGCGTAAGTTTGTAGTCATTACTGTGAATGTGTCTGTAATTGTGAATTGAAATGTGTGGTATAAATCTGTGTAAGCTTGGTGACTTAGCTGAGGTCACCCATATGTGATCCCATCTTTTGATGAAATCCAACTTTAAATTCATATTAATATACGATAAAGGAGCTTGATGATAGCTTTTAGCTGCTTCTTTTGCAAGGCAATCGGCTCGTTCATTGCCCTCAATCCCACAATGTGCTGTTACCCATTTTAGAGTCACTACTTTCCCTACAGTTCTCATCATTAACAATTTGTTTCTAATTTGGTCAGTCAAGTAATCATGAATGTCCCAATTATTAACAGAGTCTAGCAGAACTTTGTTGTCTGTATTTATAGTAACGTGAGTATTCGTTTGTAGAGGGTATTCATATATGTATTCAGTAATCTTTAAAACAGCGAATTTTTCTGCCTGATTATTTGAGCAATATGATTCTAATTTATATTGATGTTCTATATTCCTACCATCTTGAGCTCTGAACAACCATGCACATCCAACATTCTCGCCGTCCTTACTACCATCAGTGAAAACATCAGTATTTTCAGAAGTAATTCCCGGTCCAGTCCATAAACTTGTTGCAGGGTGTAACCAAGATTTACAGTCAGTAATTCTTTCTATTTTGTCTAGGGTCAGGTCTTTGTATCCTCTCTTTCCTTTTCTAATGTTATATAAGGTCGTTCGTTCTTCAATCTTCATTTGGATTGGCAACAGCCCTGCCAATAATATTGTGGCCTCGAATGATAGTGTACGATAGCCCTTACATATCTTAATCGCAATTAACCTCTGAAGCCTTTCCAACTTCACCAAATTTTTCTTACGTTCAACGGCCGGATGCCAGACATGCACAGCGTAGAGCATCTTAGGAAGTACAGCAGCTTCATAAATTTCCTTCAACACTTCCGATCTGAGTCCCCATGTCGTCCTTGCAGCCACTGATAGTCCATTTATAATCCTTAAAGTGTTGTCATATAGATTATCTATATGTCTGTTCCAATTCAGTTTTCTGTCAAAGAGAAGCCCCAAATATGATAATGTATCACATTGCGTTATTCTTACTGTATTGAGTCGAATATCCAATTCTGGTATAATTCTCTTTTTTGTGAAGGTTTTATATTTTGTCTTGTCTAGATTAAATTTAAGTTTGTTGCGTCTAGTCCATCGTCTCAGCCTTGATAATGTTATGTTTGCTATTGTCTGTAATTCATCGAAATCTCTTCGTTTTATAAGTAATAATAAATCGTCTGCGTATGCTAATAATGTTGAATTTTCCTGTAGGTCTATTTCGAAAACAGTATTGATTAAGATGTTCCAGTATAGGTGATAGTGCTGATCCTTGAGGAGTTCCTAGCGTCAATTTCTTGTCAATATAATGAAAGTTTGTTTGGATTGCAAGTTTTCTGTCAGAAAAATAATTTTGAATGATTTTGTATATGTTTTTTGGACATTTATATTTCTTTAGATTATTTAAAATCGCAGGCCACCAGGCGTTGTCAAAGGCACCCGCGATATCCAAAGAAACAACCAATAAATTACTATTTTGCCGGAGTGTACTGGTGATATGGTCGTTCAATTCACTGAGTGCATCGTCAGTTCCTGATAGAGGTCTGAATCCAAATTGGTGTCGGTGGAGTATATTGTTACTAAGTAGATGATGCATTAATCTATTTTTTATTATTTTTTCAAAAATTCTACTCATTACAGGAAGCATACTTAGTGGTCTCAGTGAAAATGAATTAGCCTTAGGAATCAATGTTAATTTACCCACCTTCCAGCTTTTAGGAAATTCATTTCTTTTGAATAAGGTTTTATAAAGTCCAGTTATCAATTTTGGAAAGGAGTCAGCTATCTTTTTTATCATTCTTGGGTCAATTTTGTCTATTCCTGGTGCTTTCTTGTCATCCAATTTATTAATAACTTGTAATATTTCAAAATCCCGGATATTAGTGTCATCGTCATTATTAAGCGGGATAAGTATTTCTGTTCTCATTTGTCTGTGTTCGTTAGTGTCATCACTTGTATTGTCATCTTTGATTATCTTATTTAATATATGAGATAATGTATTCTTAGTGTCTGTTGTGTATGTTCCTAGTTCATTCAAAGTGGTAGTGAGTAAGGTTTGAGGTTTTATTTTATTGGATACAAACTTATATGGCCATTGCCACGCCTTTGATGCAGTAGCAAATGTCTTCCAGGACTTTAATTTGGAACTTTTAATTAGCTTTTGATATGCTTGCCTACTTTTGAGATAGATCACTCTCCTTGATTCCCTTAGTCCATCGTCTTTTGTCCGCTGGTAATTTCTTCTTAGATGATTTGTCTCTTTACGCAAGCCAGTTAGTTCAGGGTTCCACCAAGGTACTGATGTTTTTCTAGTTCGACCTTTGAAATGGCCGGATCTTTTGAATGCTATATTGCAAGATTTTACGATAGATTTTATCATTTTATTTATGATAATATCAGTAGGCATAAGAGAAAACTCATTAAGAATCAGCTTTTCGGTATCATAAACTGTCAATTCCTTCTTATCAGTACAATGTTGAGATAAAAACTGTTTTTCTAACTGATGTATTAAGTTAGCCAAGAATTTATTCCAGTCACCATTCTCTGTCAAATATATATAGTTTTTTGCTAGCAATCCAGTTTTATCATTTCCCTATAAATGTAACTCATAAGTCAAAATGTTGTGGTCCGAAAAATTTGTTTCTCTAGAAATTGTCCAATTTTTTACAAGATTATGTCTAATCAGTTTTGTATTAGATAATGTTAAATCAATATTACTACTGCCTCGCAGCCCTTGGAAAGTCATTAGTTCGGAATTTATATTCATTAAGAACAAATCTTTCTCAACAATAAAAGTTTCCATATTTTTACCCCTTTCGTTAGTTTTTTTGTCGAACCAA